TACATAGGGAGTTCTAGGCCAGCCAGTGCTGCAAAGTGAGACCTTGTCCCAACAACCCTCCCCCCAATAGATGAATAAAAATTGAAAACAATTACAAAAATTAAAAAAAATTTAAGAACAGAGTCAGAAGGAAGTCAGGGCAATTTTATGAGTTCAAAAGAAAGACAACAGGGTTGGCAAGCTTTACGTCTCAGCCTGTGTCAGGAGAAGGGAGATGGGGAGGAAGAGAGAAAAGGCAGTGCCTGTAAAGTTAGGCATGGGGGTCAGCAAGCAGCCACAGGGCAGATTAGCAGCTGAGGGGGGAGCGGGCTTCAGAAAAAGAGCCAGAAAGCCCCGAATGCCCACAAAAGCTTACCAAAGCTTTGACAAATATCCAAAAGAAGAAAAATGAGATGAGAAAAGAGAAAATGCTTTTCTGAGTAATTCCGAAACGCAGGCAAGCTTAACCCAGCTACATGGCTGTGACCCCCAGGGGACTGTACAGAGTTCAGGAATTCTGGGAAGGAAAAGTTCATCATCTGTATCATTAAGGGAGTAATTATCCCTCCATCATTTTAGCATGGCTTATGGTGACTCAATCTTCCTGAGGGGTAATGGCTTGGCCAGGCGATTGACGAGCCCAACTGGATGAACTCATGTTTTGTGTAGCTTGGAATGTTAGGTCTCCACCCAGGCCAGTGATTCTATTCTCTTGGCTAGAAGGAAATAGTTTTCTTAAAGGGCCTCAATAGAGCCCTGGCCTTTAGTGCTACTGTAACAATACCATCAGCCAAATATCACCCCTTATCCACAACTGAAAAGCTGTGACCTGGCCCTGTGTGGTGTTGCTTAGTGCTTTGCCCAGGGTGGCTGAGCACAGAGGCGGGTATCTGACTGGTGTGGGGAGAGGTGCCGTGTCGGCCACGGCAGTGTGCAAACCTAGCGGTGAGAGGGAGGAGCTGTGATGGTGGGTCAGAGCCACTGGAGGACCCTGTGGGGCAAGTAGTCTTTCCACATAGTGGAGTAAGGGAGGGGGTATGGACCTGGGGAAGGTGGAGGGCAGTGGTACAGCTGGAGCCAAGGGGTGGAGTGAAGTTTATAAGCTCGGACTCTGGCCAGATTGGCTGATGCTCTCTTGGACCATTAGTGTGAGCTCAGAGGTAAGTTACTTAACCTCCCTGGGCCTCACAGGAGTGGTCTGTGAAGAGGGACAGTCATGCAGTCAGTGGCTTATCGGCTTGCTGTGAGGTATGAAGGTGTTGTCCATGGACAAGGCTTTATACAGGGCCAGCGTGCAGGGGGCAGTAGTGAGGGCTGATGGCCACTCTTGAGATTGGGCCCCAAATTGAGGGCAATAGGGGGGTGGGCGCTGAGGGCTTGAGGCAGAGGAATGACCTAGTCAGGAATGAATTTTCAAAATATCATTCCCCTGGCAGACTGGAGCTCTCTGTTTTCCTAACTTAGGCATCTGATGAGCCAATCAACTGACTGTTTTTGTCCACTGAACTCTTACTGTGTCTTTGGTACACAAGATGACTAGAAAACAACAAAAGTTAATTTTTAAAAAAGATTTATTTGTCTTTGTTTAGGTATGAGTGTCTGCCTGTATGTGTCTCTGTGTACAGGGAGCTTGCAGAGGCCAGAAGAGGGCATCAGGCCTCCTGAACTGGAGTCACAGATAGTTATTAGCTGCCATATGGGGGCTGGAAACTAAACTCAGGTCCTCTGGAAGAGCAGCCAGTGCTCTTAACTGCTGAGCCATTTCTTCAGCCTCAAATTTTAGTCATTTTGAGAGTTGCATCTCTCCTTCTATCTACCGTCTATCTACCCCAGGACTGAACTCAGGCTGGCAGTCTTGGTGGCAAGCCGTCTTGTCAGCCCAAGGTGAACATGCTTGCCAAAGTTTTATGCACTAGGTGCACAATTTTTCTAGTACAAGTTGTTTTACTTAAAAATGACGAACTTTCTGTTGCTCTGTAGTCTCTGTATGATGCCCTGAAAGGAATGGTTTCCCCTTTAGAATTCATTGTTCAACAGTCCCCTGGTTTATTACATCATTCCATTTTAGAATTCTTGGACATTTCTAGAGAGTTAGGCTTAAAAGTGTTCTCCCCAGCAGCACAATGAGTCTTAGATAAACAATGGGGAAGAGGTTGCATGTGTAGGTCTAATTTACCTTGTGCTGATTTTCTTATGGCTCTTAACTTCAAAATGAAGATAAAACAGGACAACTTTGATAAGTGTCCAGCAGTGCTTGGCATGTAATAGGTGCTTAATACATGCTTGTCTCAGAAACAAGGCACACAGTGCCTGGTTCCTAGTAGAAGGTTCTCCATCCATGTTGACACTGCTCCATCCATGTTGACACTGCTCCACCCATGTTGACACTGCTCCATCCATGTTGACAATACTCCACCCATGTTGACACTGCTCCATCCATGTTGACAGTGCTCCATCCATGTTGACAGTGCTCCACCCATGTTGACACTGCTCCATTCATGTTGACAGTGCTCCATCCATGTTGACAGCGCTCCATCCATGTTGACACTGCTCCATCCATGTTGACACTGCTCCACCCATGTTGACACTGCTCCATCCATGTTGACA